GGGTGTGTGTGTGTGTGTGTGTGTGTGTGTGTGTGTGTGTGTGTGTGTGTGTGTGTGTGTGTGTGTGTGTGTGTGTGTGTGTGTGTGTGTGTGTGTGTGTGTTCTACAGAGGTGAACAGCGACTGTGGGAAGAGAAATAACTCTAAACTGAATCTGATTTAGTGGCTGTGGAAACAAACCAAAACATTCCCAGAAATTCCTCACATATTTCTGTAACGGACACAGAAAATTCTCCACTTTTCTGCTCCGGCTTCCTTATTTCAGCCTTTTATTTTGAAAGAGGAAATCAAATCAGCCTATTATTCCAGCCAGGCGCACGTAAACAGGGTATGATTGTTAGATTGCTAAACTAGAGTGTAGAGATGTGTTATGAACACATCAGATATTTTAGTTCATGCTCCGTTTTGCTCAAACTTCAAAGGTCTTTCTCAACCGATCCTGAAGGAATACTTCACCCACAAAACAACCATTCTTATAACAATTACTCAAAAACCAGAGAGTCTTGATGAATTGAAGTAAATGGGGTTTGACAACAGCTAAACTTCAACAAAACATCTGTTTACAAACTATAATATAATGAAAGTATCATTTATTCAGTCGTTTACTTCATCTTTACTGAAACTGTTCTATTTAAAACACTTCCCCATAAACGGTAGCGAAGACTTGGATGAAACCATTTGTAACTTCTAGTTTTGATACAGTGTTTTCTTATTAAACTCTGTTATTTGAGTCTTTGTTCCTCTCAGATGATGAACAGGACGTCTTTAGTGAGTTCACGGCTGCTGGAACAACAAAGTCCTTCGTTTCCAAATGAGCAAACTGTTGAAAGGTCATTTGTCTGAACTTGGATGTTTACGTCTTAATCCTGACGCGCGTCTTTCTTCATGTCGATTCCTTTCAGACACAACAGCTGGGAGCCTCAAGACAACATCCTGGACCCCCGACTGCTGGCTGCGTTCAACAAGAAGTGAGTTCAAAGTGAGCACAGTGACGCTCAAACGCACATAAATTAGATTTATTGTATTTTTATCAGAAAGTGGTGTAAAATATTAATTATATAAAACATTTCGCAGATGTAATAACTACGTGTTAGTTATTCTATATTCATGTTGTAGTCATGCTGAACGCTGACAAAAACGTCTACAGAACATTTTTCGGAGGAGCCGTAGCATTAGTTGATGAATACTAATTAATTGTTCATTATGTTTGTTTTGAAGAGAGCAAGAAAAGGAGCTTCTGATGCTGAAGAAAGGGAAAAGGCCGAGGGGACGGCCGCGGAAAGTTCTAGTAAGTACGACTCGGAGCAGAATGTTATTAATACTTTGTCGGGTTAGTACACGGTATCTAATACTTGCTCTTTAATTTAGGAAAATGTGACCGACGCTCCAAAGTCAAGCAGCTCTTCGTCCGGCTCCTCGTCGTCCTCTGACTCCTCCTCCTCGTGCTCCTCTTCATCATCCTCGTCTGACGATGACGACGACGGCAGCAGCCACGTGAAACCGTCGACGCCGGGAGTCCGAACGCGAGACCTTCACCCCGTCCCCCAGAAGAAGGCGCAGATTGTCGTCGCCAAACCGGAGCCCCCGAAGAAGCGCAGCAGGAAACCGCCGTCGCCCGAAGCCAAGGAGCTCCCGCAGAACAAGGGGCCTCGCAAGATCCTCAAGGCGACCAAAGATGGCGATCTCCCCGGGGCCATCAAGAAGCCCGTTTACCCGGCGAGCTTCACCTTCATGGGGTTCCACCGGGGCTCGCCTCGGGATGCGGTGGCCGGTCAGACCAGAACGGGTTCTCTGACTCAGGGAGGGGCCGCTAAGAACTCTGCGGGACCAGGCAGGCCGGTCCAGCCCGCCTCCCTCTCGCTGAGCAGATCCAGCCCGAGCAGGAGCGTCGGCGAGGGCAAACTGTCCGTCTCCGGCGGTGCAAGTCTGGATTTGAAAGCGGCTGCTAGTAAATCAAAAGGCGTAGCGGCGTTGAATCTGAATACCTCCAAACACCTCATTCAAGGAACCACTCAGCATACACTAAGCTCCCCCAGCGGACAAAAGAAGCCCCCGGCCCCTGTGTCAACACTGCAGCGGACACCCAATAATAAAGCAGTGGCTTCTTTGCCGACTAAAAACTCCCCCGTCAATCAAAGCCCCGGCCCTCAGCCGCTCAACCTCCAGAGCAAACGGGTGCAGAGCGGAGACGCTCCGGCATCGGGCCCGAGGAACGCGACCAACCCGGCGAGGAAAACCCCCGTCTCGCAGGACCAGGAGTATAATCCCGCCAAGAGTCCGGCGACACCCGGGAGACTTCAGACCAGAAAGAGCCAGCCTGGGGCGGACGCGGTCAAGGAGGCGGCTGAGATCCAGACCCCCAGAGTCCAAGGCAGGCTGGAGAAGAGCGGCGTGCAGAAATCCTCCACGGAGGTCCAGAGCCAGCAGGAGAGATCGGACGGCAAGAACGCCAAAATGAACGTCATGAGCACGGGCGAAGACGAGAGTTGCTCGGACTCCGACCAGGACTCTCCCTACGTCGGACAGGCGGCCGCCCAGAACCAGGACTGGAAGCCCACGCGGAGTCTGATAGAACACGTGTTCGTAACGGACGTCACCGCTAATCTGGTTACAGTCACGGTCAAGGAGTCGCCGACCAGCGTGGGCTTCTTCAGCCTTCGCAACTACTGACGGGGAGCTGCAAACCAGATGGGCTTTGAAGCAAACATTTTGGGCTGGGGGGTTTCGGGCTCTGAAGGAAATAGATAAAAACGCTTTGGCTGGAGGATTCCTGAGGAACGCCTCAGAGGGACCAGAGGTTCATTTGCGCTTCTTCTTTCTTTTAGTAAAAGACCAGTTTTTTAGGTTTAAAAAGATAACGTCCGTTATCGATTTGTGTTTAATTTATTTTGCTCGTGTCTACAAATTGTGCCACGATAACGGCGGTGGAGGAGGCGCATTTTTGGTCCCGACTGATGATCTGAAAATGGTCCAAATTGTTGTCGTTACCGGCGTCCTGGAGATAAAATAACTTATTCATCTTTAAAGTGTGGAGAGCTCCGATGCCTCACGTTCATGCCGATCCCTTCTGTCTCTCTGTCGATGAGATCAGAAGAGCGAGATGGGAGGAGACATTTAGCTCATTATGGGTCAATCACTAGCTAATGTAAACCAGTTTTTTAATTCTTAGTATAGTTTATCTTTAACATTTCATGAGTTAGCTACCTCATTTTTTTTTTTTTTAATTTAGAAAGTTTGCTGCATACGTGTGTTTATGTCTCCAGGGTCTACCGTCACTGTGTCCTTTATAATTGTTTATATTTATATATATTTGACTCTCGTGCTGTGTTGGCTCCAGCAGCAGACAATGGCTTCATTTCTGTGTCATGAAAAAAAAACTCCAATCGGAACCTCCTTTCGAGTTTCGTTGAACCGCTCGCGCCGTTATCGCCCTCGGAAGAAAGAAGTTTCGTTCCACAGTGCAGCCGGTTTATCAGCTGGAGGTTTTCTCCCCCAAACGGGCTGCAGCATGTGGGGGAGTCAGATATACGGTATCTGCGCTCAGATAAGACTCGGCCTGAGGTTTCTGCCTCTGCATCGGCGCTGTCCTTCGTTGGCCAGCAGCTCTCATCTTCTCAGACCTGTAGTTAATACAAACGCAAAGAAAGAAGAAGCAGAGAACACGTGCTGGCGTTGACATGGAGGGATGATCACGGACCGAACCCCTGATGAAGGAAACGGGTCGGGCGTGGACTAAACTTGCCAGTAAGAAAAGCTCGCCGTTGTTTGCCGTTCACCAGATGTCATCGTGTCTGTTGCTTCTGGTGTTTCAACACGTGGAGGACTTGAAACACCAGATCTGGTTGTTTTTTTCCGTTGCAGCTGCAGATGTCTCATTTCACCCGCCTGCATGAGTTCAGGAGCTGCAGCCCCCCCCCCGTGAAAGAAAGAAAGATCTTTATCTGATGTAACGGAAAATAAACCACAACAATGTGCGCTACTTTCTGCTCCCTCGAGAGGAGTTCGGCGACAAAGCACTTGGACTGAACTCGTCTGTCTCATCCTGCTCTGCAGACTGTGCCTTTTCTTTGCCTCTCAAAGACTGAAACACAAAAGACATTAACCCCAAAGATAGCTAGGATTTCAGGTAATTCAATAAAAAGGAGATACCCTAGAGAAAGAGCACGCAGACCGGCCGGCATTGCTTGGAAACAATACGGTCCGGAGACACACACGTGATGCCTCATTTAAAGCACAGATTAGAGATATTGTAGTTTCCATTGAGGAGCAGCTGAAAACGAGTGAATTCTCACATTACAGGTGGAAAGTGTCTTCTTGTCAGTCCAGCTCTGAGCAGAACGTAGAGTTTAGTCTCATCAGAAGGTCCTGTTTCACTACCAGCTGTGTCTATGAACATGTGTTTTTATTTGATCTGTTTTACTGACTGACTGAGAAGAACAACCTTGTCATGAATATGTTTTGTTTTTAGATCTACTAACCATCTCGATGAAATGTTCTCTTTACAATCTATTTATTTCAAATCCAGAGCCTTTCACGGTAGGACGGTGTCACCAATCCTTGTATTGTGCCGCTCGTCACGTCGACTAATAAATGGTACCGCCTTTTGTCTGACTCCTTTTGTTTTAAATCAAGCGACTAGAATGAACCCCTCATGTGTACACGTCTGTCTGTCCGAAATGTCATAATTAGCCAGTTAACTCTGGAGTTATGGCCAAACTACTTTTTTATGAGGTCACACTGACTTTTCACCACCAAATCCTCGTCCATTTATCCTCGAGTAGAGTTGATATTTGTGCCAAACTTTGAAGAAATTTGCTCCAGGTGTTTCTGAGAAATCACGAGAACGGACCAGACGCTCTGTTGTCGTCGGGCACATTTTCTGCTTCCTAAATGTGAGGATTTGCTGCTTTTCTGAGTGATGACTGTAAATGTAAAATGAGTTTTGGGCTGTTTGACGACACCGTACTGGGCTCTTGTTGGTGCTATTATTCAATATTCTCTGACATTTGACAGACTAACCAGTCAGGGTGGCTGATCCTATACATTACTACTGATGGACAATTGGCATACAAACCATGTCAAACATTATGTGATCACACAACATATCAGTTGTACATCATACGTTATGTTGTATAATCTATGTCTCTGAGAAATCAAAAGGCAGCTAGCCACCAGTTATATCTGTGTAACCCGGCGGTATTCATCTTTTGTATAAACTTATTGTTGAAGTCACTGAGAAAGTAAAACGTGTTTATTTGTGTACGTTTAACACCGGTCACCTTTGAGTGTTTATATTGTGGCAATCAGCTGATTGTACTTTTGCTAAATATTAAAATTCCAAATGTAATGCACCATTTTACTCGGCCTTTACTCGTGCACATAGAATTGGAATAGATCCTGAAATGAGCTCCGTTCTGCACTGAATACAGAATCAATAATCAGATTAAAACCCCAACAGACCAATCGGTGCAATACATAAACAGATTGATGATGAGGGGGATGTTTCAGCAGCTGAGAGGAGTCAGAATATGTTTGGCTGTTTCAAAAAGGTGCCACGTATTTACATGTTTATTATGACAGACTTGTGCTGATTAGAAATTCACAAACTGTCAAATATTGTATTTTATATTTCATTCTCTCTGCATCAGTGTGGATTTAATCTTCATCATCACCACCGTTAAATCAGTCACATCCATCAGTTCAGAAACCAGATGACTGCCTCGTTCCTCCACCACCTCTTGTTGAGTGGTACTTCAAACAGCCACTAGGTGGTGCTGTTGCACTTGAAGGTGAGGACACCCGGGAGCGCTTCAGTTTCTTAATTAACCATAATTACATCATCTGTTAGTTTACACACTTGAGATTGAACTCCTTTAACTCGGTGCATCTCGTTATGTGAAAGCAAACTGACAATTCTCTGACTCTCTAACATTAAGAGCCGTACACTAGTATTCTCTCTGTAATCACAGTACAGCACTGTACACTAGTGTTCTCTCTGTAATCACAGTACAACACTGTACACTAGTGTTCTCTCTGTAATCACAGTACAGCACTGTACACAAGTATTCTCTCTGTAATCAGAGTACAGCACTACACAAGTATTCTCTCTGTAATCACAGTACAGCACTGTACACTAGTATTCTCTCTGTAATCACAGTACAGCACTGTACACTAGTATTCTCTCTGTAATCACAGTACAGCAGTGTACACCAGTATTCTCTCTGTAATCACAGTACAGCACTGTACACTAGTGTTCTCTCTGTAATCACAGTACAGCAGTGTACACTAGTATTCTCCCTGTAATCACAGTACAGCACTGTACACTAGTATTCTCCCTGTAATCA